TACTCGTGTACGAAACGGCATAAACGAGAAAATTGTGGCAATTTTCTATTATTTTTCTACTTTGTCGACCTGACTCGTATTAAAATTCAAATTAATTTACAACATGAAAATCCAATGTGGACTTATGCCTACATTTATATGACTTTATAATGTAGTTTCCTACGTGCATGCAAAATGGCATAAGCGAGAAAGACGTAACAATTTTCATGAATTTTCCTACAACTTTTCAAAAAATTTTTAGCATATAGTCCTCACCAGGGACTTATGCCCTTTAAAAAAATGAATACTTTCATTTTTTTCTTTGCAATAAGCTTTAATTTATTCACGAGAAAAACGTTGACCAAAACGAAAAATTTTCCGCAGCTTTTCCAAAGCCCTATTTTCTTTAGTCCTTAGTAGGTCTTATGCCAATGTTTTTTTTGAGCTTTTCGAATATAATAGTGTCATATTTCTAATTGGCATTAATGAGAAATTAGTAGACAAATAAAGAGGTTTTTCACATTTTCTTACAAAGTTTTCCATTTTTAGGTCCTTTGCGACACTTATGCCAAAAAAATTTTGTGATAAAATCGATACTTCTCTTCAACTTACGAACAAGGCATAAGTAAGAAATACGTCGCTGTACACATTATTTTTTTGAAAAGGAAAATTGAATTTTCACAAAGGTGTCCCACAGCCCATCTTTTAACTCTCAGAGGCATAAACGTGAAAGACGTCGTCGAACTTCAGTCTAATATCTCCCGGTCTATAAGGACATCGGACTAATAACAGTTTTATTTCCAGAGGAGCGTGGATAGCGTGCTGGAGTCCGTCTCCTCAGTGGGAACGAGGTCCACCGGCGGCATCGGCGGTCGAAGGTGGGTGTCTAGCGTAGAAGAACCAGTTCGACAGAACTCCAGCACTACCCGGCTTAGTCCAGCCGCGGAATCCGACATGTCAGCGGCTAGGTGAGTATCCTGTCGTATTCTGCCTCCCTTCCTTATTCCAGGACTCGGTAGAAAGAAAATAGTTTTCACTCAGTCGCGTCGCCAGAGTGATTTAGTGTGTTCTTTATTGTTGGTGGCGTTTGTGAGAAGTAGTGAAGGCGAGCATAAATTAACGTAAAGTGATTTCATTTGTAAACAAAAGGTGTTTGTCCTCACTCGAATGGATTTACGGAAAGTGCAGGAATTATATTAAAGTGGAACCCAAAAGTTTTTACTTGGATTTGATGTTTAAATTGCAACGTTACAATTATAAAAAATATTTCTTTTAATGCAGGAAATATATTGGAAGGTATTAGTCGCAATAAAAAAAAATAATATAAAATATGGAATTTTCCTTAGTTGCTCAAGCAGTTTTTTGAATTATTAACTAATTGATATAGTCAGAAATACTATGTACCCTGTTTTTGTATTCCTCCAGTATATTAAATTTCTTTGAATTATTATTTAAATAAGCTCGATGCACAATATTTCTTAAAAATTAAAAATCATTTGTGCCAGAAAGATCGGTCAAGGGTTAGGTTAGGTATTAATTTTTGCCGATTTCTTGATGCGAGGATTTATTTATTTTTTTAATTTTCTCACAGTTGATACAATAATGAATAAACAAAGAAAAAACTAAATCTACGCCACAAATGAATAACTTCAGAAAATATCCATTAACTAAATTTAGGCCCTCTGCATTTTATAAGTTCGATTAAACCGTACCCTTCCTAGAATAAATATACACATATTTATATTAATTAATACAAATCAATACGTTTGACAACTTAAGTTAATAAAACAAATGCGAAGAAGTTCTGAAAAGTCAAATACTTTACAAAATATTTGCTTTATAAATATTATTTTCATTTTCTACTTATCTAAAAACTGAATGAAACTGAATATGCTTTTCTTTGGAAATTTTATCACATTCTTTTTTCAGTAAAAAATAATTACAAGTGAAAATCTGAAGCAAAATTTTATTCGTCTCTAAGATTTGAAACAAAATTATTGAATTAACTATTTTGAAGGAAATAGGTATTTAGTTTCATCTAAAATGGTTGTCATCTTCCCTAAATAATATAACAATTTTTCTGGTAAGGCAAATTTCCAAATTTTCAAATTCTTTGTTTTTATATATTCACTTCAAGCAGCACCATCCACGTATATTAGAACTTAAGGGAAACTTTTTTTATTTGCTTTACTGTTAATCAATCAGATAATAATAAGGGGATAATTTTTTCTGTTACAATCATATCAAAGGCACTCTGAATGCAAGATTTTACAGGCTAAACTCATTAGAAATAATCCTGTATTTTTTATTGGCAGTGACAGAATTCGATTCTGAAAGTTTTAACTATTAAGTGTTTTCATTCATAAAACGTTCATACAAAATAAGTATAGTTTGTACTAAGAAAATTTTCTCTAATTTCTGACAAACTTATTACACCCATGCAAGTTTAAGGAAAATTGATTCAGTGGCCACAACTTCTTCAAAATTATCGATAACATTTATTTACAGAGCATTTCTAAATTATTGTGCCAAATTGAAATAATACGTAAAAAATGCCATTTTAAGAAAAAAAAAATAATTCTAGGAACCTATGTGCATAACTCTTAGTACATAAGTTACAAAATTATAAATGACTTCAAAATGGCTGATACCATTCAAATAAGTAACTGAGTTTTTTTTGACTGAAAAAAAGTTGTCTAGGGTCTTCAGGTTAATGGTTCACAATTATCAGAAATAACATCTTAAAATACACAAAAGGATACTATTATTCTATATCGATAAAATTGTTAGCATTATTACATTAATCAAAGTTGGAAAGAAGTTGGATCTCTCGAGCCAATTTGAATGTATTTAAAAATAAATGTTCACAGAAAACCTTTTAATAGTCCAATTAACTAAGCCTTTAAATCGAAATTTTGCCAACTTGGCTGAATTTTTGATATGAGTTAGTTTAAGGTATATTATAATAATAAGTGAGAGTAATTTTTTGTTCAACCCCCGGCCAAGGGTGGAAAAAGATAAAACAAAGGGCTTTTTCAAGATAACTCAAAAAGGGTAAGAGCTAGAAAAGCTAGCTTTTTCATGAAAGTTGTAAAGCAGACAATTCTACATAAAAATGGCCTCTTAACTTTTTCTTGTACTATTACAATTAACAGAGTTAGGGAGGCTAGAAGTTAAGGGAAGATTTCAGAAATTTAAAAAAAATCATAACAAACAGAAAAATGATTGAATTTTGTAATTTTTTTTTTCAATCTGCTCTAAAATATGTAACTTTTCTTTTCAGAGAAATAGATATATTTTTTAATTTTTAATAAGAAAGTTATAACAAAAAATCAAATTTTTAATCGTTAATTTTAATGATTTAACAAAATTAAATTTCTTTTTTTTCTAGCTCTTACCCTTTTTGAGTTATCTTGAAAAAGCCCTTTGTTTTATCTTTTTCCACCCTTGGCCGGGGGTTGAACAAAAAATTACTCTCACTTATTGTTATAATATACCTTAAACTAACTCATATCAAAAATTCAGCCAAGTTGACAAAATTTCGATTTAAAGGCTTAGTTAATTGGACTATAATTAGAATCCATGTTTCAATTTTGCATCATATTTCATAAACATCCCGTATTATTTTCATGCCAGTGTAAAAACGCATAAATAATAAATTTCTGATAATGGAGTTGGGAGCTTAAACATAATTCTTATTAGTTTCATTCGCATGTGAGACCTTTACCTTTTTTACTTTAAGATTATCGCTTCCTTTGATCCTCAAAATATGTTACAAGGGGATAATCAGTGCCCTTTCTCTAGTGCTCTTCTGTACCTCTCCCAACACTCAGGGTGAGTGTAATTTAAATAATTCTAACCTCGAGTCAAGGGAAGAAGGAGAACCATCTTGTTGAAACCAAATACGGTTGTGTTAGACATGAGATAACAGACCTTGTCCACTATCAATTTTAAGTTTATTAAAAATAACTGGCTGGTAAATTACTACCTACCTAAAAATGATAGTGCTATTCAGATATAATGTAACTGATTCGAACTCATTAATAAACAACAAATTTCAGAGGTCCGTATTATTTGTATTTCAGAATTCGCCATATGTATTTCAGAAAGTGTCAAATATTTTTAGATATTGTTGAACGTATTTCAGAAAAAAATTATGTAAAACAGATTTTGAAAATGATACTAATAAATAAAACTTTCATTATGCTAAATTTAAACAAACTAAAACTCAAAAAAACCCTTCATATCACATTGAAAATAAAAACAAATGAATGTCATTTCCGACAGTACTTACTGGAAGTTATGTAAGGAGTAATTAATTAAAACATTATAAATTAATGAAACCCGCCCAGTTCCAAGAAACTGTTTAATATTAATGAAGAAAGCAAGTGTATCTCATTCTCGTTTTGTAGCCGTTTCTAAATTTTAGCTAAGTGACTAATAATAACCACACAGTATACTGAATAAATTTTCCATAAATAAACAGTGAAACAAGTTGCAATATTTATTAAGTATAGACTCATTCTAGGAACAAACAGTAAGTTTCACAAAAAAGTATCTCTCTTTATAACAGTTATAGGAAACTATCACCGAGATTATAACTGTATCCGTTCTAAAACAAACAATGAATATGAACTATTCAAACTGAAACAACAGCGCATATTTGATCGCAACAATTTCTTGAACACTTTACCAGAAAATTATCTCGTAGGAGTGGCAAAGGCGTGAGTTGAATTAAGAATAAAAGTAGTCTGTTGAGTAGGTTGAAGGTAACATAATAACTGGCTGGTACTTTACATGTGTGTATTTATGGCTATGGGATACGAATGGTAGCGATATGCTGTTATATGTCACAAATAAAATAATATACCTACGTGATAACTGTTGACACTTACACTTATACAGTTTTAAAAGTAGAGGTATATTAAGGGTGTTGGGATTATGGGTAGAACTAAAACATTTTAATAATTAAAAGATATTGTTTATTCACTTATTCAGATATCACATCTATTCTGTGTCAAATCGATTGAAAACTAAAATTCTCTCTTAAGCTTAGTGCTACAAGTTACCTCTGTATGTTTATAAACATTTTTAATTTAGAGGTAAGAGCTCTTGAACCTACAGTTAATAAAAATATAAACACATTCAAAGTAGGTATTAGTACCTAAGGATGTTTTTATATGCGTAACTTGAGTATCTTTCAACAATGGGAAAAATAAAAATATTGAGTAGCCGTAATGACATATTGAAATGAAAAGTCTAAATTTAAGGGTATAAGTTGAGGGGCCATCCAATATTAAAAAATGTACCAGTATTTCACATTAATCCTAAATTTAAAAATATACTTTCTTATATAAATATTATATCTGAAATAAATATATTCCAAACTAATATTAAGGTTGACTTGAAATTTCGTTCATAATACGTCAATAGAATGGCATTTACGTAGAAAAACTAATACGTAAACATGAGGTATGTTGATTATATTGTTTACATTACAGTTAGGGCGCGACTGAAAAAAATATACTTTTTGCTATTATTGAAATTCAAAATTTCTGAAAACTATTTCTTGACTTAAAGATGAAACGTGTGGTCTTTAGAACACTTTAAATTATTCTTTCTTGTATAAACATTGGCCCTTAAAGCTTCATTAATTTTTGACACATTCTTATTACCCAAAAATAATCAAGATCGTAAAAACTTGTCTAGTTCTAATAGACTTCCAAATCTGACAGACAAGTTAACAGTGTTATACAGGGTGTTTTTGAATGGAGTAGCATAAATGATATCAGTGAATATACAATTCAAAAGAACACGATCTGAAAAAAATCGCCTTAGTAAAATGTTCACCCCTGAAGAGATATGGGCCATCAGTTACCAAAAAAATTATGAAAATTGGCTGTAATTTGAAAACCGAACGAGGTACAAATAACAAATTTTTTACAGGTTGTTTACTAATACATATGCG